TCTGGTAACATAATTTTAAAATATTTAGTTTTCAGGTGTGTGGACTTCCATTTGTGCCCTTCCCCTGGGGTCTGCAAATGTTAGGGCAGGCTCTGGAGATGTCAGGAAGCCTGGGGCTGTTGGCAACCATTTTTCCACTCTAACGGGAAAGGAAGCCTGCCTGAGAATGCAGCCAATTCAGAGAAGAGCAGAGCCAAGAAATGAAGAATGAGACAGTGAACCAGTGATATTATTATAATCTCTGCGTCTTGAAGATTTACTCATGAACTTTTAATTTCTTAAACTAATAAATCTCCCTCCTTTTTTTTTTGCTCACACCAAGTTGAGTTTTCTGTTATCTGTATCAAGTGTCATTTCTTATACAGAATCCTGATTTTTGGTTCAGGAAAACGTGATACCTTTACATGTTAGCAGTACGGAGTGATGAGACAGCAGTTGGTAAGGAGAATGGGAAGGAGGTGAACCTAGGAAGTTTTGGAAAAATGGGGCGTGAGTAAATATTATTAATTCCATTTGAGGACTGTATGTGTGACTAATCATTTCTTAGCCTTATACCTAGATCAAGTACCCTAGTGGTCCATAGATAAAAACTGTTCACAAAAATTTGCATTAATATGTATATGTACTTTTCTAGAGAGAGAGTTCATAGCTATTTCTAGATCCTCAGAAGGAACTGTGAGCTCCCATATGTTTAAGGAACTCTACCATAATAAATAGAGAAAGATTTTGAAAAGGTGGTAAGATCTAAAAATTAAAAATAAAATGTACTTTAGAAAAATTATGAAAGTGCAAATTATGGCATTGTTTCTGCACTTATATGCCACAACCACCTGCTCTTGTTTCAAATTCACATTCATGGGCCCCATCCAGACCCAGTGAATCAGTCTCTGCATTTTTGCAGGTGATTCTTATCAAGGCTGAGGTTTAAAAACCATAGAATTATTGGATGGATTAAAGGAGGGAAAGACTAGAGTTAAAAAAACTAGATGATGATTACAATAGACAACATGAAGCGATTTGAGCAATCTTATCATCTGAATGTGTTATTTATATAACTGTTGGCAAGTAGGCTATTTACAAGTTTCAGAGCAATTTTATTTGAAGGATTCAAGTCTTTTTTTTTTTTCCCCCACCACATATTAGTTAAAGACTCTACAGAAAACACTGCTTGGGGCTTGAATGTCAAACTTCTCTAGCTGCAAGTTCCAGACAGAACTGTATATGCTCTTAGAAGAGAAAGAGTTTTGGGTAAGTCAGTGTATTTTGTTCTGTTCACATTTAGATGAGAAGCAACAAAAATTAAATTAAGTAGTTAAAGTTGCCTAACATAAAGTTATTGTTTTTTAAATCTTGCTCTGATAATGCATATATATGAGTTTCAAAAGGGTAAACAGGAGATATATATATGTGTGTGTGTGTATATACATATACATACACATATACACACATATATCCTATGCATATACAAATATATAAGAATTCTTCATTTGAGTAGTGTGTAGAAAAGAGTTAATATCATAGGCCTCAGAGTGCCACTCTTTGAAAGGCCTGCTCGCAAGGTTCGCCCTTAGCTGGTCTTTGGGAACTTGGATTTCAGCTGGTTCCTACCATTTCCTGGTCTCTGATGAGTTTCCATGGTAGCCAACTTCACATGCATTGCAACGATTTGATGCTGGAGTACTTAAGCATATCCTATGTTATTCTATGAGGAAAGAACTTTTGGAAGCTTGTGCTAGGTTTCCTCCAGACCGCTCCATGCACTTTTTCCCTATGCTAATTT